CCATTCATTCTCTTGGAAGCTTGTCACATGAGGATTATTTTCTTTACATTCTATTTTCTTTTTATTTATTATTTTTACCATTTTTCATTGCCTTGACATTTCACCATACTCAACATTAAACATCCATCATTGCCATTGTATTTCCATTTGCTACACCATCAAACCATCACTCCATATCCACCAGCATACACATTTACATTGTCGTGACATTTGTATATATCAAGACTAACTATACTTAGATAGAATAGTGCATTGCTTTGGTTAGACTTTTGTAATTTCACCCAATTCCTGTGGAGACGATACTCACTCATCATTATATTACTTGAGCGATTGTGTATACTTGCATATTATTTGCGTATAATTTATAGTAGTCACAACACGCGAACAATAGCTTAAGTCAAGAAGGGCTATCTGCTAAAGACCCTCGAGTTTGATTACACTCAGCTTCGAGGGCACATCATTTACAATATAACTCAAGGCTAGAAGGGTTATCTGTCACCAAAAGACCTTCGAGTTCGACTACGCTCAGCTCCAAGTCACATCATTTGTAGCATAGCTTAAATCGAGAAGGGATATCTGCCAAAGACCCCCGAGTTCGATTACACTCAACTTCGAGGGCATATCATTTATAGCACAGCTCAGGGCTAGAAGGGTTATATGTAACCAAAGACCTTTGAGTTAGACTACGCTCAGTTCCAAGGCACGTCATTTGCAGCATAACTTAAGTCGAGAAGTGCTATCTGTCAAAGACCCTCGAGTTTGATTACACTCAGCTTCGAGGGCACATCATTTACAGTATAACTCAAGGCTAGATGGGTTATCTGTCACCAAAAGACCTTCGAGTTCGACTACACTCAGGTCCAAGGAACATCATTTGCAGCATAGCTTAAGTTGAGAAGGGCTATCTGCCAATGACCCCCAAGTTTGATTACACTCAGCTTCGAGGGCATATCATTTACAGCATAACTCAGGGCTAGAAGGGTTATCTGTAACCAAATACCTTTGAGTTCAACTACGCTCAGCTCCAAGGCACATCATTTGCAGTATAGCTTAAGTCTAGAAGAGCTATCTGCCAAAGACTCTCGAGTTCGATTACACTCAGCTTCGAGGGCACATCATTTGCAGCATAACATAAGTCGAGAAGGGTTATCTGCCAACCAAAGACCGTTGAGTTCGACTACGCTCAGCTCCAAGGCACATCATTTGTAGCATAGCTTAAGTCGATAAGGGCTATCTGCCAAAGACTCTTGAGTTCGATTACACTCAGCTTCGAGGGCACATCATTTGCAGCATAACTTAAGTCGAGAAGGGTTATCTACCAACCAAAGACCTCCGAGTTCGACTACACTCAACTCCAAGGCACATCATTTACAACATAGCCCAAGGCAAGAAGGGCTATCTATCAATAAAATTGTCGAGTTCGATTCCACTCAGCTCGATGACACATCAATCGCACTACTGTCCGGTCGCAGTCGAGGTTTTCAAGTCGTGAAGAAGACCTGGGTTAGTCGTGCCTTAGTGATAAGGAACCGTTTTTAAGCAGCATAGCTTAAGTCAAGAAAAGCTATCTATCAACGAAGATTTCTGAGTTCGATTCCGATCCAAGGTCTTTAAACCGAAAAGAAGACTAAAGTGGTCTACAATTTGGCAATAAGAAGTCATATTCTGATTCAAATTCCGAACTGTGACTTCAACTCCATATCATTTTAAGATGGACTCGACTTCGCGACGGAGGGGTCATCCAATTCGACATGGAATTATTCTTCAACTCCACCGAATGAAAATTTGTGTCTTTTTATCTTTGTCCTATTTTCGTTCCACGAAAAAGGACAAAGAGAGGCAGTTGTAGACACTAATTTTCGTCCACATTTTATATATATATATACATATATAGTTTGCAAATGGTTTTTGAAAATACGTATATAATATATAGTTTTCAAAACATTTTTGAAAAATATATATTATATAGTTTTTAAAACATTTTTAAAAATTATATAATATATAATTTTTAAAACATTTTTGAAAATATATATAATATATAATATATAATTTTTGAAAAAACATTTTTAAAAACATATAATATAGTTTTAAAACATTTTTGAAAACTATATAACATATAGTTTAAAAACATTTTTTAAAATTTTATAATATATGATTTTAAAAAAATATTTTTGAAATGTATATTATATATAGTTTTAAAACAATTTTTTTAGTATATGTTATATAGTTTTTATTTATTATTTATTTTTATTCATTATTTTTATTCACCTGTTTTCATTTATTTATTTTATTATTATTTTTTGTTTTTGTTTTCTAGGTCCATCGTTTGGTCCAGCAAAGTCCAAATGATTGGGCCTGAACCAGCCCAATACAAGTGAGGGTTTGTGAAACCCTAGCAGATGGGTCAACATGTCACATACGCCGCATAGGGAGGAAGAACACACAGAACCCACGACAGTACTCACGGAGGAGACCAAAAACAACAACCACCACAACCGGACGAGAGAAACCACACAAAACATTATCATCGAGAACAAAACAAAAATCAGAACACAGAAAACCAACAAAAAACAGCCAGATCCATAAACGGTGCCACAAAAACAGTAGCCAACAACACAAAAAAGAACATCATCAAACACATACACAAAAGGCCGAAGCCCCACATCAAAAATCAAGCAAAATAAGTGAAAACTAAACCGGAGAAGTTCTCGAAAGAGAAGGAATCGTCAGAAAAAGGGTAAGGGACAATAACTTCACGGCTAGATCTGCTCCGATCTAGGTGTTATCTCGGTATTTCGGGGCTAGAATCGGGATCTCGAGGGTGAGTGTTTCGGGTGTTATTTAGGTTTGAACGGCAGCCGCTGGTGGCGGTTGGCGCGGTGGGTGGCCACCAGAGTGGTGGTCAGACTCTCGTCGGTAGAGAGAGGCGAGAGGATTGTTATCCTCTCATATTTAGAGAGAGAGAGACGAAAATAGAGAAATGAAGGGGAATAAGGGAAGGAAGACCACATTTTGGCCTTAAATAGAGAGATCGAAACGACGCCGTTTTGAGCCCTAGTTACCGCGTATTTTCAAAGTTTCAGGGATAATATCAAGTTTAGTCCTTGCCTTTTTGTAAGCTCACACGCGCATCTCACCTTTCTGGGGCTAATTGTGATTTAGGTCCCTCATGTTTTATAAGCATTATTTTTTGCTCATTAATTTGAATTTATTCTTGATTTCTCTTTTAATTTTATACCTCAATTTCGTTTTCTTCCAGGTTGGTCTTTTTTATTTATTTTTTCTTTTTTTTTCTTTTAATTTCGTATATATGTTTTTTATTTCTTTTTATGTTTATATTTATTATTGTTACTATGGTAACTCTTATTATTATTATTATGTTTCATTATATATATATTTTTCGGTTTATTTAATATTTTTATTTTTATTTGTCTATTTTATTTGTTTTATTTTTCCTTTGATTTGTCTTTATTTTTTTTATCTATTGTTATTTTATTTTAATATTTCTTCTCTTTTTTTTTCCTTCTATTTATTTATTTATTTCCTCTAAAGCTTCTATCTTTTTTAAGGTCTTCGTCCAAACCATTCAAAGGTAAGTAATTAGAATCTGGTTAAAGGACGGGTCAAGGGTGCTAATCCTTCCTTGACCGTAACTGACTCCCGAACCTGACACGTTTATGGTACAACGCAGATCAGGTAAGATGGTGTCCGACCCACCTAAATTCATTTTAAAATGGTCGGTGGCGACTCCTAATCATTTAATCCAAGTCGAAGCCCAATTATGGGTCCAACCGAAAGACGGTTCCGACAATTACCAATATGAGTTAGTTCAAGTGATAAACATTTTGATATCGCTTAAGTAAGATCTCAAATTTGAGTTTTTTTGTATATAAAAAATTCCTTTTAGGAAACTCACCCACCCAAATAAAGTGTACAATACGAGTCGATCTAAATTAATCAAGGGAAAATCTTAAAACTGAGATGACAAAAAAAAAAAGATCCCATTATTATTTCCATTTACCTTTTCGTCTTCATATAGAAACAATAATATCCTTATATTTTTTTTGTTGCAATAAGGTCCTTATTTGTACGTGACTTAAAATTATGACTTATTTTCTATTTAATTGGTATTTATATCTTGTATAATGTAACTTTAATATTCGACCCTCTTGATCTTTGAATTATTGTAAAGGTTGCAAGTGATAAATTTTATTTGTTTGCAAGTGATTAATTTTATCTTTTTACGAACTAAGTTACTTTAGTGATTAAAAAGATAGTTATTATCCTTAAAAAATTTAAATTCAAGCATATCATATATCAAGAGTGTTTGAGCATTTGTTGTTAAATAGATCGAGAGACTTTCAAAGAGATATTATATTGCAATTATCCTTAGACTAATAAAAGAAAAGCTCTATTCCTTTGAAACACTGAGAAAACTAGGATGACGGAGGAGACCGATCGATTATGTTGAGATGGTGAAATTATATGTTCTTATTTTAAGTGTTTATTATTTTATAAATATTTATTGAATATTTTTAAAAAGAGAAGTGATGATAAAACTTAAAATAAGAAAAAAAATAAAACTTTAAACATTCAGAACTTATAACAATTAAATAGAAAAGAAGTCATAATTTTAAACTTTAGACAAGTTTTTGTTTATACTCTTGTTATCATTCTTAAATATATTTATTTACTTAAAAATACTGTTAAACTTATCAAATGATTTTAATAAATCATAATAAAAATTTTTCTTTCAGTGAGTTAAATTCAAATAACAGTATAGGTAAGGTACAACAAATATTACTTCAGTAAGCAATAAAACACACCAATTTGTAAAGATGGTGAAAGTAAACTACTATGGGCTAAGGAAACTACTTCCTTGTGAAATAGCGGGCTTCATTTAAGATGCTGGATTTTCTTGTTCGACCCGGAAGTTGGTGTGCGTCCAGAGAATTAGACCATAAAGCCTCTCTAAAACCCCCGAAAATAGATTCTTCTACAGAAAACAAGAAATGTGGCTCTCAGCCAAAACAATGCCTTCGTACGAAGCCATTCTCTCAGCAACTGCCTCCCTCACCGCTTCAGCCATTCTCTTACGAACCATCGCCGGTGATCTCATCCCAGAAACCATCAAAGATAGTTTCTTTTTACATCTTCAAAAGATTCCGTCCTCTTTATCTTCTCAGCTCACGGTTGTCATCGAAGAATCCGACGGTCTCACGGCCAATCAAATCTTCCACGCCGCCAATCTTTACTTGGGCGAAAAGCTTTCATCTTCGACGCGGAGGATCAAAGTTAACAAGCCCGAAAAAGAGAGCGGACTGCAAGTGATCACCGACAAGAATCAAGAACTGCTCGATGTTTTCAAAGGCGTGAAGATGAAGTGGGTGTTGTTGTCTTCTTCAAGGATTCATGGGTCAATCAAAAACAACACAAAAGATGGGATCTTGAAGGTGGACATATGCTACTTCGAGCTGAGCTTTCAAAAGAGAAACAGAGAAATGGTTTTGAGTTCATACTTACCTTACGTTCTTCAAAAGGCAAAAGAGATTAAAGAAAAGAAGAAGACATTGAAGCTTCATACGGTTGAGTATCAGGGTATAGATTATTGGGGTTCCATCAATCTTGATCATCCAGCAAGCTTCGAGACAATGGCAATGGATCCGACGATGAAGACTGCACTGATTGAAGATCTTGATAGGTTTACGAGAAGACGAGAGTTTTATAGGAGAGTAGGGAAGGCTTGGAAACGTGGGTATTTGCTATATGGACCACCTGGTACAGGGAAGTCGAGCTTGGTTGCTGCCATGGCTAATTATCTGAGGTTTGATGTTTATGATTTGGATATAAAGGAAGTTCAATGCGATTCGGATTTGAGAAGATTGTTGATCGGTACAGGTAATCGATCTATAATAGTCATTGAAGACATTGATACATCACTAGATTCTGCTGAAGATGAAAAGGTATGCATCAATAATGAAAACCCCCCTTAAGGCCTTAATCTATTGTTTAGTTAAGCTTAAGTTCGAGTAGTTCCAGCTTTTCAAATTCAATTAACGTAATATTCGAGTTGAGTTCCTGTTATTCGTGACTTTATCACGCTTGACCAGGACCCCTTTTTTAGGGAAATCGGAATTGATTTTTTACTCAATAGTTGGTGCCTTTGCAGGTTACTTTATCTGGTCTGCTGAACTTCATTGATGGATTGTGGTCAAGTTGTGGGGATGAGAGGATAATAGTGTTCACAACCAATCACAAGGACCGTATTGATCCAGTGCTGCTAAGACCTGGACGCATGGATATGCATCTTCACATGTCTTATTGCACATTTAGTGGTTTCAAAACACTGGCTTCTAACTATTTGGGAATCCAAGACCATCAATTTTTTGATGAAATCAAAGGTTGGTTAGACAAGATTGAAGCAACACCAGCTGAGGTTGCAGGAGAGCTTATGAAATATGAAGATCCAGATATTGCTCTTCCGGGACTTATCAAATGGTTTCATAACAAGGCAACACTGAGATGCAGCAGAGAAGTTTAAACATCCAAAATGTTTATGACCTGCTTGTGTTGTAATATGTGTTATTGACATTCTTAATTGAAATGGAAAGTGAGTTGTGTTCTTAAGCTGAACATCAATAAAAGTATAGTATTATGGTTATGTTGTCTGTGATAATAATATTTTACCATTAAGGTAAAAAGAAAATTTGAACTAAAACTTGCATGAAGCAATTGGGAAAAGAAAAATTAAAATAAACAGAGATAAACCGTCAGGAGTTAGTCTCTTTGAAAATTCACGAGCTGTGAAATCCTGCCACATATAATCTGTGTGTACATAATGTCCTCAAGCAAATGTTGATAACTCGGGACAACTGTGGGGATAGCTCAGTTGGGACTTGTTAGTGCGTCAGACTGAAGGTCACGTGTTTGATCCACGTTCACCGCAATGTATCATCATTTTTCCTGATCATGGAGTTTTGATTGGTATAATCGAAGGCGTGACTGGTAAAATTGATGACCTTTTGTTGTATGTCAGATATGTGTAATGGGAGATAAAAACATACATTAGACACTGGCCCGGCTACTCTTTCAGATCAAGTAGAGAGTCCTTTCGAGATTGAGAAACATAAAAACATACGTTAGACTTGTTTGTATTTGTGTTTGATGTTGTTTTGTCCATAGAACCCTTCTTGTTGTTGATGCAGATGACAAGCAATTGTTCTATTGAGGTTATGTTTTGACTTAGTTGATTAAAGCATTGGGATTTTCAGAGTCCTATGGGTTCATGTTGTTTCCTTGAATTGGACAAGGCAAGCAAACTAGTGCTTGCTAGATTTCATCTCAAACTAACACCTTTGGCCATTGAAAAATCAACTCGGTGAAACATTGAATTGATAGGGAAAATGAGTTGTAAGAATCCCACTGCCCTCTGCCTTTCAATTCTCCTTTTCAGTATAAACATAATTTCTGCAGTAAATGGCTGAATAAGCAATGTCTTGGTCCCGAGAATGGATGACTTATGGTCTACTCACTATCATTCACTTCTTAACCCTCCGGTTTGGTAAAAATCTTGATCTTCGAGGGCTGATTGCCTTTGTTGATCTGTCAACCAAAGGGATATAGAAGCACCTATCAATCCATTCCATCTGTTTTGTTTCATCTTTCCATTTCTCAAAGCTGTCTTCAAATCTTTTCATTGAATTCTCAACCAAACGAATTTATTTTCATGAAGTTCACCCTCTTAACTTTCTTCATGATTTTAGGACACTGTTTGAGTGGATTTATCACACAAAACTCTTCATTTTGCTGAATTCAACAATTCTTTCTTCCAAATTCCTTTGAATGGTTAAAACGATTTATCACCTCTTCCAAATTTCTTTCTTACAAATCCTGGCATATATAATAAATGTGTATAAATATTTAGACGTGAGATCTCCAATCACCTTTCGCTGATAAATTGATAATTGCTATTTCTCTTACTTCAGCCTGTTTATGGAGTGTAGACATTTCAAAATTATTAACGTATAAAATTATTATTTGATTACATAAATCAACTGCGGGGATAGTTCAGTTGTGAGAGCATCAGACTGAAGAGCTGATGGTCGGGTGTTTGATCCACGCTCGCCGCTTTATAATTTTTTCCCTTCTGTCTTCATTTTCCTGATCATGGAGTTTTAATCGAAGGCGTGCGACAGGTGAAATTGATGACCATTTGTATTAACTCGTCAAAAGTCACTAATTTTGATATTGTTTTATCATAGATCCCTTCATGTTGTTAATGTAATTGTTCTATTGAGATTAAGTTTTGATTTAGTTGATTGATTAAGCATTGGGATTTTCAAAGTCCTATGGATTCATGTTGTTTCTTGAAACAAACTAAAACCTTTGGGCATTGAATTGATAGGGAAAATCAGTTGTAAGAATCCACTGTCCTTTGCCTTTCAATTCTCCTTTTCAGTATCAACCTAATTTCTGCAGTAAATGGCTCAATAATCAATGTCTTGGTGTCGAGTTGATAGGGAATAGATGACATGGTCTTCCGTAGCTGCTCAATCTCAATCGCTTAGTTAGTATAGTCATGGAAGCAAAAGAGCAAGATCCATACCACCTTCAATAAGGCATGAAATCTTAAATATTACACGTAAACAACAATATCAATAAAGCTTGATACCATACAGAAGTGCAAACTATGACGTTACTGATGCAGAATTCCAGTTGAAACAAATCGATACGGTGATTTGGTTTGAACCATTTGGCATCAGTTGTTAACAATGATTTAAGGAACATAAAGAGGTTTGGTCATATGTAAATACATGTGAAGATTCATTCATATAGTTACACGCGTTTAATTAAAAACACATGGATTTAATTTACAGGACTGAATGCTTGTTCTTGTAGAGCAAGTTAAGTGAGCTTCTTTTAAGATTCTATTTATTTGAATATTTAATAGAATGCATGGAACTTGGTAAGTTACTTGGAGATTATAGACTATGTTTAGGCAGATCATTAGTTAGTAGTTCTGCTCAGTTTTTTAATTTACTGTTGCATTTTTTGGTTCGGCGTAACCTTCCTCGACGACATCCCAATAATCTTGAGACCCGAGTAACGCCTTCATTTGAATGTTCCAATTTTCATAATTCATTTTGTTAGAGTATGCCCAAAGACCAATCATATGATGATTGTATAGACGTATTTTATTTACCAATTTTATTGAATAAAGGCATTGCCACTATTATTTTCAGTTATATATTTGTTTCTAACATAAACTGAAAGATAATAAAGTTCATATAATAATATGATTATTATTAAATATCCTTAGTCGAATATTATTATGGGTATAGACAATAATAATATGTTTAAGACTAACATGTTATTGATTGATGACAATGAATTGTCATTGACATAGAGATGTCAGAATCGATGCATGAATATGTTGTTAGAGAACGACATATTGGATTAACCTACTATGAACATATGTCTTGGATTATTATGCGTTGGTCATAACATTGCTCATGGTGATGACTATATGTATAATCCTCAAACTTAAGATCATTAATATCTCAACATATATTTTTATATGTTTTTATACAGTTAAACATGCTCCATAACTGGTTGCACTATAAAGACTTATATTGAGCATATCTCGATATATGTAGTGAGATGTGAATGATTAATATATGATTTGTCCTTCCTACATAATAGGAAATATATCACATGCCACTTGATTGAGTGAAACTAGAAATGTATGGCCATGCTTGAATAAGTTAATATGAGATACACAAATTATTCATTAATTATAGTATATTTTAGATATCAAGAAATAATAGATGGGTCATACAAGTGTGACTATTCCAAGACTTGTGCCTATTCTAGATATAAAGTACAAAAGGATGTAATCAATAAAAGAGCCAATCACGAAAATGATATGTTATATCATAATTTCTTATAACTTGGGTAACAATGATATATTGCTGGATGTCACCTATTGTTTGTAATATTAGAATAGTTCTAATAATTATTACTAATGTTACAAGAACCTACAGGGTCATATCCTAAGGTTGAAATGAACAAATGTTAAATTGTACAACATAATTAGAGTTAATGTATGTATATTTGATATACATATAATTTAATTATCCCGAATAAAATAAGTGGACATTAAAAGAATATAATTCTGATTACAACTCTTTTAATAAATATTTAATTCGGAACAATTAAAGAAGATTTGATTTTGGAAGAACTAAAATAAGATTTTAATTAATTCGGAATTTCAAAACCCTAAAGGCTAGGGTACCTTGTATAATTAAAGATAAGCAAAGGTCTAGCAACCGCTTTTTGATCTTTTAGCCGCTTTTCTCTTAAAATCGTTTTTGAGAAAAAGTGAAAAATATTTGCTCTCAATCTGGTGAACCAAGTAGAGGTGTAGATGTTTTTGTGGAGGCTTGCGATTCAAATCGTTTGTGATCACTATTCCTGTTGCTGCAATCTTGTTGTTTTTTAAGGAACTCATTGTAAGTAATTGTATCCTTTTCCTCCTGTTTTCGGTTTTATCGTACATAAATCACTGGTGAGATCGTCGAATTTTTTTCTGATGCGCCACCACATTTTTGTCAACCTTGAGATTTATAGTTGAATCATATTGGTCATCTTTACTATTGCATAAACCCAAACTAAGTTTGAACCAAACTCTGATACCACTTGTTGGAAGCGCTAGTGAGCACTCAATCAACTTTATAATTCGTATAATATTATTAATACGAAATACAAAAGTATAAACACAAACACTAACATCTACTAGTTTACAAACATACTCTCAAAGCTTTTCTAAACTACATTCTCACTTTCTAATATAGCTTTGCTAAGCTATCTCTAAATTTCTCTCGTTTTTCACTTCTCAATCATTCATACCAAGGCTAACTATGTATATATTTATAGGAGAAATGAACCGACTTATCTGTTGTTGCGGAAGATGGCTATCGGATAGAGCAAAAATGCAATTGATAATTTGAGAAAATAAAAATTGAAGATAAAAGAGACACAAAATTTACGTGAAAACCCCCTAAATAATATAGGGTAAAAACCACAGGCAACAGTAGAAGAATTTCACTATGAGAAAAATAGGAATTACAACCTCTCTCGATCTACCAAGAAGAAAACAATGATAATTCTCTCTTGATAAAAAGGAGAAAACAACTCTCAAGAAACTCTCTAAATTCTCTCTAGTATTGGAAGAAAGCTAGAATTCTTTGGGATGGTTTTGAAGCTAAATGAGATAGAGTATTTATAGCTAAATCTTAAGGACTTAATCTTGTAAATACCCTAAAGTTTAGTGACTATATTTTGTAATTTGACCATATAAAAAAATAAAAAATTATGCACCTAGTTTTCGGGGCCTCCATTTTTTTTTTATTTTTTTTTTGACTTTCTACAATCTCCCACTTGAAGATTTGATTGGAATAATCATATCTTCATACCATTCTTTCTACCTTGTACCATCATGTTGCTTATGTCTCTGACAGGCCACAAGAGGATCGACACCAGGTAAATTTATCAGCATTGATTACTTTCGTCATGAAATCTGCTATGTTGT